CACTTCTGCCTTATTCTCTTGGGACACTCGCCTGCTCTTGGAACCCAGCTGCCCTGCCACAAGAATGCCCAGGCCATAGGAGATGCCACATGTAGGTGCTCAGCCAACAACCCCTGTTAAAGTCCTAACTAACAACCAGCATCAATCACTAAACATGAGAATGAGGAAATCTTCAAGATGACTCCAGTTCCAGCCACTGTCTGACTACACCCACCCATGTGAGGGACTTTGAGTGAGGACCGCTTAGCTGAACCCAGTCAACTCAGAACCTTGAGAAAGAATAATAAAACGACTGCTGTTCTCTTAAGCCACTAGGTCTGGTCCACAACAGATTACTGGAATGGTAACACACTATAGGGAGGACCATAATTTATTTGATTGGTACCTGCAATGATGGACATTTGGGCTGTTTCCAGTCTATTTTAAAGATGCAATTACTTACGTGGAAATATAATTCCATCATGAATTAGTGCCTGGCTCTGCCTTTTCAGGTCAAAGGAATACTCTTCTCTTTCAAATTGGTGTCTCATTTGAGGTCAAAGGCTGCTGTAGCAGCTGCTCTGTGCTTCTGAGCTGATGCTGGACAGTGAACCCTGTATGAAGGAGGCACTGGGAGACAACAAGAGGCCTTGATCTAGTACTGGCTTTGATGCCTACTTGCTGTGTGACCCTGGAGGAGTCTCTTCCCCTCTCTGGGCTTCAGTTCCTTCTCCTGTAACAGAGGGGAAAACTGCATCCCTTAGCCTCTCTCTGGCAGATAAGTGAGGATCAGTGAGGATCAGTGACATAATGGAGCCCTTTACAATCTGAAGGGCAGTGGCTGCAAATGGAATTATAAGTGCAGAGTTCCTGCTCAATGGTTATGCAAGAGGAGTCAGGCTCACTAAAATGTCCACAGATGGGGAGGAAAGTATAGCTCAGTGGTAGAGCATGTGCTTAGCAGGCAGAAGGTCCTGGGTTCAATCCCCAGTAATCAATCAATCAATCAATCAATCAAATTATCCTGCCCCTCCTCCCAAATCAAAACAAAACAAAATAAAATAACCACAGAGCAAAACAATAGGAGAACCTAGCTTCCCACTGTCTGGATATAAGGCTTCTCAATCTACAAGTCTGGGCTTCCCAATTCTTACCTGTAGGACTGTGGACTTTCCAGAAATCAAAGAGAAGCACTACCTCATCTGAGAAGATGAAATGCATCTGAAAGAGAAGGGACTTTGCATCACAGGTAGCTTAGGGCAGTGGAAGTTGTGTTCCGTAGTGGTCTCCAGCCGCCTCTTCTAAAGGCGCAGGAAAATGAGGTCACTGGACTTAAGTGCTGGAAGGGCCATCAGTGGTCATCAGGGACAGCAGGGGCCAGACAGGACCAGGCTTGCCCAGGGTTCTACAGCGGGTCAACAGCAGAGCTATAACTGACTGAGCTGGCCCTGCTCCAGGTAGAAGTGAGGTGTTGGCGGGGTACCCATCCTCACTGGGCCAGCCAGGTCACAGTGCTCTCAGGTCACGATGAGATGACTCCCCATGCCCTCCAAAACCAACGGGGAAGCACTAGCCTGAGGAATGACTACCTCTTTTTAGCCCCCAGAGCTCCAGCCATTCTGCTCCAGTGGTGTTTATCACGGAGGGGCCTAGGGGCAGCTGTCTTCAATCTGCCCCACACCTGTTCACTTGAAATTCACCAAACTTTTGCTGAGTCCAATTCTGGGCCCTGCATTATGGACAAAGGTTAATGTCTCAGCCCTCAATGAGCTCAGTCTTCTAGAAAAAAACGAAGGTAGAAGTACTGACCATGCAGCGCCTGTCTGAATGCTCTTCTCAAACAGTGCCTGGTCCACCCTGTGTTCAGGGTGGCATCAAGGGCTTTGCACACATTATTTCATTTCACAATAGTCGTCTGTGTGACAGGGCCAATTAGGAAGGAAAATGGGGGAAACTAAGCCCAGAAAAGTTAAGTAATTTACTGAAGGTCACAAAGCTACTAAGTTGGCAGAGCTGGATTCAAACCCGAGTCTAGAAGGATGCCAAAGCCCTATGTGTCTATGCTGCCTCTCAATGCCCAAGAAAGGAGGACAACATGGGAACTGGACGGTGATTCTAAATGCCCACACCAGGCTTAATGACTGTATTTGGCAAGATTAAAGCCAGAAGGATCAACCTAGTTTACCCTCTCAGAAAAGGGAAGTTTCCCTCTTATCACCAAATAAGACCTCAGCCAGCAGAAGCAGCTCTACAAACACCATCAGTGCTCACCCAGCTAAGGAGATCCTGGCTGAGTTGGGATCAGCTGGTGAAAGCCTTTGCCTTCAAAGACAATGGCTAAATACTAAAATTCTCAAAGGTCAGAGCTAAATGTGTCCTCAGAAAGTTTTTTTTTTTTTGAGATATGTGACATACATTAGTTTCATGTGTATAACATGATTCAAATATATGTACATATTGCAAAATGATCACAAGTCTAGTTAACATCCATCATGACAGTTACAATTTTTTTTCATGTGATGAGAACTTTGAAGATCTCTTAGCAACTTTCAAATACACAATACTGTACTATTAACTACAGTTACCAAGATGTTACATTACATCCCCAAGACTTGTTTATATTCTCAGAGACTTTTTAGTCCCCTCGTTTTCAACTTTTTTTGCCAGGGAACACCGGCAAATAAAATCTTCCTTGTAACCCCACCATATAAAACACAGGGCTCTGGGTGAAATGGGGAGAGAGTTCTGAGCTCTGCTGAAATTCAGTGTGAAAAACACTGATCTGGTCCAACTCTGGTCCCTCTCTAACCCCTTTTCATTTGCAGATGGGGAAAATGAGTCCCAAGAGGGAAAGGGATTTGTCCAAGACCTCATCAGAAGAAAATGGAAGCCCATGCAGTCTTAAAAATCATGTTGAAGAAATTTAAAATAAAAATGCCTTTTTATCCCACTAATATAAAAGGTTATAATACTTGCTCAATGTAAAAAGCTGGAACAGTACCAAAAAGAAAGTAAAAATCATTTTGAGTCCTACTACTCCAGAGATATCTCTTGTTAAGATTTCAAAAAGAGTATCTGTTGAGATGGCAAAATATTCACAAAAGGTTAATATGCAAAAACAAACAGGTACAAATAATCCTGTGAAATTCCATTTACACTAGCAGAAGCCTCCAGCACCATCTCTGCACTTGAGGTGGAGGGAGGTGTCCCAGCTTTAGCTTTTCCCTGAGTTCACTTGATAAAGCAGGTGGCATGATTGGAATGTCCCCTGTGGCTAATTAGAGAGGTTCCATAACTGGGTTCCTTCTATCATCCTGGGGCCTGGGCCATTTATCTCAGTTATCAACAGCAGACCCCAACAGCCACAAAGCAGTGGGATTAATTCAATCAACAAACTGTTGTGCTAGGGGTGCAGGTGCTGGAGATTGAGATGAATGAGACAAGTCCTTGGCCCTCGGGGAGCTAACGCCAGTTAAGGGAGAAGGAAGGGAACAAATATTACAATGAGGTGTATGTATTCAGTGAAAGGGAGGCACTGAGCCCTTTGGGGGACCGGGGATGAAGAACCCTTGGAGACACCTAACCAGCGGGGGGAGGCAGATGGCTGAGACATCTTCTGAAGCAGAAAGAGCAGGAGGCAGCCAGGGGAAGCAGGACAGTCCAGTAGAAGTGTCCACACAGAGCATGTGGTTCCACCCCACTGGGGAGTGAGGAGCCAGGCAGGGACAAAGACTCACCTCTCTTGCCTTTTCACAGGAGAAAAAAATTCACATCAGCACACCCTGACTTGGGGCTGCAGTTTTCAGTTAAAAAGTTTTGTGGTCAGATGTGCAAAGGGCGGACCTCTTAGCCTGTTTCACTGCTTAGGATAAATCTGGGCCTCCAGCAGCTGAATTTAATATATCTATGCCTTATTCAGGGCCCCACCCTGCTCAGGAAGGGCTGTGGTGAAGAACAGAGCAGTCATAGGACTTGTTTCTCTTCCATTTTCTCATTTGGAATTACTTAAACTTTGAGAAAAGTGCCCTCATTTATAAGCCAAAGAGTTTAGGGGAAGTTTAAGGTCCCTGTTCTGCTGCTGACTGGTTGGGGAACTTTACATATAAGCTCTTCCCATCCATTTCCCTTTTTAGAGGACCAGTAGGAGGTGAATGTGGGTGTTTGAATAAATGATCCGCTTTGGCTTCCTGGATCTTCAGTTCTACGGCAGCCTTCACCGGATGAAGAAAATTACGTATACGATTTTGTCAAAGACCAAGGAGTTTTGCAAGCTGTCATTCTCCCCAGCCCAGGTGAACTCTACCTAGAAAAGTAGTTTATCTGAAAGGCTATTTCTGACCCAGATGTAGGGAGGATGGAAAGCAGCTGGGTCTAGTATTTTTTTCCCCCCGCAAAGGATCAGACCACGAACTTGCCAAGACAGGGGACCGGCCCGGTCGCAGGCTCAAATGCTCTGGGGAATCCCTCTTCACCGGAGCCCTCCTGGAGTCTTCCCCCGGGACTCGCCTGTCTTCACCCACCGCGCCTCCACCCTCAGCTGAGCCACAGCAGCGGAGTAATGACTGCTCGTCGAGCCGGAATGACTCTCAGCAGGAGGGACAAATAAAGCCCCAAAGCCACGGCCAGCTCCGCCTGCCGTGTCCCCCCAACCCACCTCCCGCTGTTGACAATGCTGTCAGCACACCCCTCACCAGCCCTGGGCCAGGGGCGCCGGGCACCTGGGAGTGCGCCAGGTCGGCTGCTAGGCGGACCCGCGCCCCGGCGCCCACCCCGCGTCCGCTGCTCTCGGCGGCGCCGGGACTCACCGCCATGGTGAGCGCGCTGGGCGGCCGGGCGCCGGGGCTGCCTGAGCTCGCTCGGGTCTCGGGCTCCGAGTCCGACCAGCCGCCGCCGCCGCCGCCGCCGCGTTCGCTACCTGGGCCTCGAGGTCACGTGGTCGGGGCGAGGCGAGCGCGCGGGCGCCTGGGAGTTGTGGTCCCCGCCGCGCGCCCCACTCCCCGCGGCCTAGGGCGCATCCGAACCCGCCGTCGAACCCCAAGTCGCTAGCAGATCCAGCCGAGGGGCCAGAGCCGCCAGCCCAGCGGGCTCTCTCCTGCGTTCCGTTTAGCCCCTTCCTGTTTTGCACTTGTCTTCGTGATTCTCATAAATAAGGTTTATTGCTCCTTGTAGTAAACTGTGCGAAGTTTAACAGATGTTGAGTTAAATACTGAAAACTCCATCCTACGGGCTGGATAGCAACAAACTAGGAGTAAATTAATTATGCCTCAGGCTTTAAATGTAGCCATTCTGTCTTTCTTTTTTTAAATGTCTTTTCCAATCTAAGTGAAAAACAATACACAGTAGTATTTTTCTTCTGATTGAAGTACAGTCAGTTTACTATGCTGTGTCAATTTCTGGTGTCCAGCATAATGTTTCACTCATACATATACATACATATATTCCTTTCCATATTCTTTTTATTACTACAAGATATTGAATATAGTTCCCCGTGCTATACAGTAGAAACTTGTTTATCTATTTTATATATAGTAGTTAGTATCTGCAAATCTGGAACTCCCAGTTTATCCCTTTCCACTCCTTTTCCCCCCTGGTAACCATAAGTTTGTTTTCTATGTCTGTGAGTCTGTTTCTGTTTTGTAAATACATTTGTGTCTTTTTTTTTTAATTCCACGTTTGAGTGATATCATATAGTATTTTTCTTTCTCTTTCTGGCTTACTTTCCTTAGTATGATGATCTCCAGGTCCATCAATGTTGCTGCAAATGACATTATTTAATTCTTTTTATGACTGAATAGTATTCCATTATATACATGTGGCACCACTTCTTTATCCAGTCATCTACACAGTTGTAATTTTAATTTGTATTTCTTTGATAACCAGGGTGGTAGGCTCTTTTCTTATTGGTATTTTTATTTTTGTGTATTGTCCATTTTCATCCATCCAGTTTTCAGGGGGTAAATTTTATAGGGGATGAGGGAATTTTAACAGTATTGAATTTAAAAATATATTTAGTAACTCTTTGCCAGTCTTCCTATGAGGAAAGTGGCTCCTCAGGAAAACCTTACTAGAGACAGTGCTAGAGGACCTTGAACCTGGAGTATGACCTCAGTTCAAATCCTGAACCAGCAAATACTGGCTGTGGGACCTCTGGCAAATGGCTTTAAATTTCTGAGCTTTGGTTTCCTGGTCAATAAAATGGAAAGAATGATAGAATCTATGTCACAGAGGTATTGTAAGTCTTAAATGAAGACTCGTGTGTTAAAGTCCCAGCATAGACCTGGCAATGGGAGTGTGCTCAAAAAATGGTAGCCGTTGTCATCAAAAGCAGCAAATATTTCTGTTCTATTGTAACTGAGCAGTACCCTACAGGGCCTTCCTGGGAGAGACCCCTCCTTCCATTTCCTCAGCCTATCTCTTCTTCGTAGAAAAGGTGTAGTCTTCCAGGCCTCCCCTGAGTCACGAAAGCCTGGCTCAAGAATTAGTGACTGAAAGGATGTGAACTCGTAGTGATAAAAATAGCAATTGGGGCAGGAAAACTGGTAAGAATTTAAACAGTAAATCAGCCATATGGTGATCACAGAATCTTTAGTTTCTCCCTGAAGTAGTTAGATAACAGTATTCGATGCACATTTCCTGAGTTTTTTCACAGATGCTAAAACCCCCATCAAATGGAAGAGGTTAACTACTTGATGACCATGAGCAGTAGCCCCTAGACCTACTGGACACTGAGGATTGATAATGTTAACCCCTGGGGACACCACCCTATTACCTCACCATCAACCAATCAGAGAATTGTGCACGAGCTGATCACACACCCTGCAACTCCCCTCCCTCACCTTGCCTTTAAAAATGCTTCCCTGTATGGGGTGGGTATAGCTCAGTGGTAGAGCATATGCTTAGCATGCAGGAGGTTCTGGGCTCGATCCCCAGTACTTAAAGATAAATAAATCAACCTAATTACCCCCCCTCCTCAATTTTTTAAAAAAAAATGCTTTCCTGAAACCCATTGAGGAGTTCAGGTCTTTTGAGTGTGAGCTGCCCCATTCTCCTTGCTTGGCCCTGCAATAAACCTTTCTCTGCTCCAAACTCCAATGTTTCAGGTTATTCAGCCTCACTGTGGGTCAGGCATAGGGACTTGGGTTCAACAACACTATGAGAGGAAGCCACTGCAAAGGTCAAGCCACTTGCTCGGGATTACACGGCTTCTAAGGGCCTCAAGCTGAGAGATAGTGGGGGTAGAGGGAAGTCAGGGATTGGGGCAGGGAAAGAGTATGGGCTGACACTGCAAGGAGTCTGAGAGGAAGGTCCGCTGCTGTCAGGTATATGCTAGGCCCCATGAAGGAAGCAATGCAGAGAAGACATATTATTGACACATCTGGGCCCCAAGAGCTTGGTGTTTGGATGTCATTTTTCACCTCTTTGGGCAGTAGAAGTAGAAAGACTTGACCTTCACACAAGCAGGCTCCCGTACACTCCTCCACTCCCCCATCACGCAGCAAAGGATTTTCAACACAGCTTTATTCATTTGATTGTTTTTGTTGGCTTTGTTACAATCTGATGACCTTCATACTTTGTTCTCACTTCCTTGAGTGTATTATATTATAACAGCTTTGAAGTTCTAAAGTGCCCCTTTTCTTTCTGAGCCACCAGAGACTCCCCTCCTCCGGCCCCCAGGCAGAGAACCGGGTGCCAGCCACAGAATCCCAGCTCACAAGATAACACCACAGCCGGCCAAGCCTTGGCCCATGGCAAGAGATTCTTTCCAGATTCTGTCCTTTGACAGCCTGTAGATTCCCCTCCTCCTAAGGAACAACGGAGTCTGCCCTGTCTTTCCAGCGCACACCTAGAGACAGGGGACAGGACAGAATCTGCAGTCAGAAAAAATGGTGCTGCCTCGAGTGTCACAGAGATCAGCCAGGGGCCCTTTAAACAGAGCGCCCAGCTCAGGCATGGTCAGTTGGTGGAAAGGAAATCCAACCAGTCATTTCTCCTTTTGAGGCTCAGCAGAGGAACTTGAGGTCTCATGAAAAGCTTACATGCACCAAAATGTTATTTCTGCAGACTGTCTGGCCTGGATGTTCAGATAACACTGTGTGACCCCATGGACAACACCATCCCTCTCTGGGATGGGTGGAATGGAGCACTTTTAACTGCCCCTTCACGTGCAATCTGCGGTTATAAATGAGCTTGAGGTTGGAGTTGAACACTTTATGGCTCGGACTTTTGCACGTTTGCCATGTTGCTCCATTCAGCTAACCTCCTTCCACAAACATCTATTATGTTATAGTTACGCTATGAGTAGCGTTACGTATTATACGTAATACATAACACAGCCTTCTGCATCAACTGTGTGTGGCGCAGGCAGAGTATGCACATTGGAGGCTGGCCAGAGTGTGGAGACAGAGTGTGTGTGTGTGTGTGTGTGTGTGTGTGTGTGGTATGGTGTGGACTTTGTGTTGGTGAGTCTGGGGAAAGCAGGAGCCAGGCCACAGGCAACCTGAAGGCCACATTTAAAGTCAGAAACTTGTTCTGGGACAAAGAGCCACTAAAGTGTTTTTAATGTAGGTTTTTCTCCTTGCATGTTCCCTTTTCTTTCCCGAATTTTGCCATCTTGGTAAGACCTGCCCAGACCACCCTATTTAAAACTGCAATTCTTCTTGTATCTCTCACCCTGCTTACTCTGCTTTATTGTTTTTCCAGGATACTTGTCACCTTGTGGCCTACTGTTGAATTGGCTTATTCATTTTTCCTTTCTTTGCACTCAAATGGGAGCTCAAGGAGAACAGGGGTTTCTGTATTTTTGTCCAGGAGGGCAATCCCAGCTCCTGAAATAGCTCATGTCACAGCACAGTTGATCCATAAACATTTGTTGAATGAGTGAACAAACCCCAGCAGGCACGCACTCTGGGCTTCATTGCTTCAGAGGAAGGAAGTGGCAGAAAGAGAGGCAGCCTCTGAGACGGGGTGTTTTTGTTTCTTGTGAAAGTTGGGGCAGGTTTGTGGCAGTTTGTGGGAGAAATGAGAAAATAATTTATGGAGAAGCATGAGAAGAGGAAGGATTGCCCTCTCCCAACCCATCGAATATCTCCGCTTATAGGAGAGGGAGCGAGAACTGAGGCACCTGGAGCAAGGGGGCTCTGGGCCAGCTTTGGGCAGGGCCACCAGGGGAGGGCCCCAGAGGGCCGGGCCCCAGCACAGGGAAGGAGCAGCTGAGATCTTGTGAAGCCTCACAGCCTGGGACAATGATAGCAAACCCAAGTGTGGCCCTGCCTCCCAAACTCACAGACCAGGGGGAGAGAGACCACCAATCATACAAATAAATATACCACCTGTTTAGAGTGGCTTTAGAAAAGAAAAAAAAAGCAAGAACTTCTTTCAGAAGCCCTGGCCTTGAGTTGTGAGGTCTTAGGAAAACAGAGGACAGGCAGGTGCCCTGGAGGGCGCCTTACCGTTCAGCCCTCTCCCTTGTTCACATTCTGTGCTGTGACTGCTTTTCACTGATCACTGAGGGGATTTAGATCAGCCTGATTTCTCTCCTGTCAACTTCGAGCTGGATCCACATCACAATCTCCCCTGTAATCGCTTTCCCTCTGTGCGCAGAGGCTCTTGCTGTCAATCTGGATCCTTGTAGCAATCCAGGGGCCAGAAGGTCAGACATGGCCACCCGGAGAGAGAGTGGGACTTGCCAGGGTTTACAGTGAGTCTGGCAGGCTCCGGCCTCTTGACTTGCACCTGGCCCAGCGCTGTGTCCCACTCTGGGAGGCTGTGAGCAGCTGTTATAACCCCAGCCTTGCATGTGTAGGATATGAGACAAGACCTCGGACTCCAGTGGGAGAAAGAGGTATATACATTTTACCCAAATGTAGCTGAGATGCTCCTGGGATACCCCCAAACAGGGCCTTGAGATCTCCTGCTTTCCTTGCGTGGTGGTTTTACAACTGCAAATTCTTCGACATTCTTCCCATCCGGAGTGGAGTCTCTGTTCTCTCTGGGCCAACCTTCATGACTCACTTACAACCAATAGACTATAGCGGAAGTGTTGCTACATGGCTTCTGAGGCTGGGTCATCAAATGCAATTCTGAAGGATGAGAATTCTGGAATGCCAATATGCCGAACACTACTGAACTGTTATACTTAAAAGCTGTTAAGATGGTAAATTTTACCTTATGTGT